GGAGTGGGAGGCTGGTACGGACGGTTGCGGGCGGTTGGGGGGGTCCCTGCGGAGAGGGCGTCCCTCTGGGCCTGCCAGGCTCCGTGGCATGCAGCGCCCTAATAACAGCCCGTCCCTGCTTGTCCCATCCAGGAGCTATCCCCAAATCATAGCGCCCATCATCCTGTGTGTCTCACTGTCCAATGTCAATGTGTCAGTGCAGCTGGGGGACACGCCACCCTTCGCCTTGGGCTTCAACTCCATCTCTGCAGGTACGGGCTGGCACCAGGGTGGCTGCTGGGCTCTTCTTGGGGGTTGGTGGCTCTGCCAGAGAGGCACCATGATGGGAATGGGGAGGGCCGTGCTGCTTCTGTGCTTGCCCATGTCTGTGTCTGGCCAGGGGCTGTAGACCCCTGCCTGGTTGTGTCTGGGTTGCCCCAGTTTGGGGGCAGCTGAGCAGGCAGCAGCCAGCCCTGCCCGCACTCACCCCCTCCTCTCTGCCCGCAGACTACCAGCACCTGCGGCCACAGAGCGTGCACCAGCGAGCGGTGCTGGCTGTGGACCACCTCTGCTGGCGCGTGGGCAACGACTCGCACATCCAGCGTGCCCCGCATCCCCCCAACATGCACGTGTGGGGAGAAGCCCTCATCCTCGACTCCTTCAACCTGCAGGTGAGGGGTGAGCCGAGGGGGCAAGGGGTGGCTCTTGGGGGGTGGGCTGCCTGTCTGCAACTCCATGCAGGCAGCACAGGGACTTGTGGTGGCATGGGGACATCCTGCAGCCTGAGAGTGATGGTCCTGTTTGTCCTGCAGGGCAGCTACAACCAGCCCCTGGGCATGTCCAGCGCCCAGTCGGACACACTTTTCCTGGACTGCACCATCCGGGGGTTGCAAGTGGAGTCGTCGGACACCTGCACCGAGTGCCTGGCCAGGGTCCTGCCCCTGTTCTGCCCGCGGCCCAGCGGAGCTGAGCTTGCCAAGCAGCCACCCTCTTCCTCAAGCGAGCCCTGGGGGCTGCTCTGGAAGGTGGATCTGAAGGTGGAGGACGTGAACCTTTTCACACTTTCGGCCCTGGTGGGTAAGTAGCATCCAGGCTGATCCCAGGCGGCTGTCCTGAAACAGGCCAGTGGTCAGAGGAACCTGGCACGTCGTGGTGTGCCTCCTCCGTGCTTCCAGCACTGACATGCCATCTCTCTAGGTGCCCTGGAGCTGCGGCTGGACACTCTGACCGTC